GTCTGTGTCGTCCTTTTCAGTTTTACGTGCTGGTACATGAGTTCAAATGAATCAACTAGCGCGGCGAGTAAACATCTTTCACATCAACTACTTAGGAGCTAATTTTCGAAAGGACTGCCGCGATGTCCTGTGCTTTACCACGTGGCTAGAACACTGAGCTATATGCCTACAAATGAAATACCGTCTGGTCGGGTACAGGCATTGTTGAAAGCAGGTCATTGACCAGTGTCAAAACAAACGTTTGTTTTGTTTTGATGTTGGTCATTGACCTGCTTTTAAACTAAAATTGGTACTACCAAAGTAAAAATTCTGTCTTCATTCCTCCAAGGTTCAATGAGAAAGTGTTAAGTTCCTCTGTATGCAATGAACCACCATGACTGATATTGCCAGCCAAGCGACGTCCCGCGACTACATGAACATTGTGTAATGACTCTGGCTATGCATATGACAATGGCTAACGATTATGCTCAATCAGACATAGCTGTGGCTTAAAACAGCTGCTCTGCATCCTTTATATTATTCGCTGGAAAATTACTCTTTCTTTGAATTCTCACCAAACACCTAGGTATGTTATGGGGAATATGCTATTTGCATAAAAACTTTGTGGAGTGGTGGCTATGGGATCAGTCTACACAAAATTATCTGAATGGATCACACAAATCAGAACACTGTCCAAAATAAGGCAGTAGAGTGAACATTGAAAGAGTAAAACAATAAACATTTTAGCCATTGAAAGAGTTACCCATGTCACAATTATCTTCGCTGTCTTCCGTGTTTAAGAATAGATTGTGCAATGATACCGATGAGTGGATATGCGATAAAACTGAGAAAAAATTTCGATGTTTGGGGAGAAAGGGAAGTTTGCTGCGGTGTTTGTGCGCGTTTGGCTTCGGGTGGTGCGGCTTTTTTGCTGCAACAGCCATGTAGTCATGCATGTTGATTTGTTGAACCCCGTTTTGGAAAGTGCCTTTGAGCACAGTAGCAGATATAGTAGCTCCGTTTACTACTTGAAACCGTGACATGAAACGCACACAAGACGGTACCTGATGACCCAGTTTTTAGAGCATACTCAAACAGATGATGGCAGCAGCTCATAAAAGAATGTCTTCCGTCTTCACGGCCAACATGTTTGTTTGATTGATGGCTCAAGGAAATCACTTTGACAGAATGTAGAGTACCTTGAAATTCTATGTGCCACTGCGAAATCCTTCAATCTGAGGGCTGACTGCAACTCATCACAATGTTCCTGCTTTTGTGTGGAGTTGGCATGATTCAAGCTTGTTAGCTCGGTTAGGGCCTACCTAATCTTTGGTGATGCGAAATGCTGTCTTGTTCTTTACAGATACTCCGTTATAGTACCATGAGGTGGTAGCTCACCAAAACTTTTATGAATGGTTTCTTTTCCCTGCTTATGTAACATAGCTCCATCACTTGTGGCTTCAGTAATGCATAGTAGGTCACCGGTATAGTATGCCTTCTAGGTGCTAAAATATGCATGTGCAATCCTAAGAAAAGTATTGTAGAACACTTGCACTTGAAAGACAACTTCTCGCTCACGCATTTGCCATGCGGTCGATAGTAAAGATTCCTTTCGACTACTTGTGTTAACGATATCAAATGTGCCGCTTATACTGTTTTTGTGTGCAGCTGATAGATATCCATCATCATTCTATCACTGCTGAAATGAAATTGGCAAAGCCTTGTGCAGTTTCTTTTCCTTCGAAATGCACTGTTGCATGGTTTCAGACAGGCTGCACGCTCTGTAGATGATCCAAGGGATGAGCCAAGTTTGCGACCTCTGGCCCGAATCATGTGCATGTCTTGTAAAAAACATTGATACGCCTGTGAGTGAAAGTATACAGCAGTGTGCGGTACACTTCTGTACTTATATGGTAAGTACAAAGTACCCTACTGGGACGTGAATTATTTGTGTACGGTACACATTTGCTACATATTCGTACACTTTTGGTATGTATACAACTACAACACAGCACACCTCGGTACATATGCAGTTAGTATACAGTACACCTTTGGTATGAATAGTTAGTGCATGGTATGCTTTCGGTACATGTGCAGTTAATGATACATTTCTACTACATGTGCGGTTCCATATACACATTTGGCATGTATACAATTAGTGTACGCTTGTAGTTTTGTGCATAAGCTGCCACTGAGAGCAAGGATTCGCCCAAGACTCATTCATTCCTTGATGGAAAGATTAGGTGCTTTCATGCTACAATATCCACTCATTGATATGCGCCACTTGAGGCATGCCATCATTGCAGTGACATTGCTATGAAATTAGAAGTGCCACAGCCTCATTGTGGATGAGCTCTTTGAAGACAAAGAAGTGACCATGTGCTGCGCTGAACTAAAAAAATTGAGATGCTTGCAATTAACAGACCGAATTTTCAGCCTAGCACTGCATTGTTGGCAGGTTGCGCAGCTAGACAGTTTGACACGCTTGCATGGTCTGTGTACTTTTGTTCACGGGTGTACAGCATTCTCCACCCAAAAACGTTTGTTTCACCCATGCTGGCAACCTGGCCTGTGTTTGGTGCGAATTGATTCATGTGTTTGGCTTAATCAAATAATTCTGCAGACTCGGGCTTGGCTATGCTATGCAGTAGTGGAAACAGCCACAGTGAAAGTAATTTGGTGATTTGGCTGTTTGTATTTTTCTCCAAGTGAAAATTTTGTCGGATGTCATGCCGGGCAACGGCGTACCGTCTTGTTGGCATTTTCGTGTTGTGGCAGACACTGCTCTTCTGCCTACGTGATCCTACAAAGCCAACGTGCCCACTTTCGTGATTGAGGAAGCCCTCTTCCGTTTTGTGCGGGCAGATACTGTAGGTTGAAAAAAATAAAAAGTGCTAAGCAAATTAACGTGTGTCGTGTGCGGTCAGTGCGTTGTCTCGTATGTCCTGAAATGTCCTACTAGTGCCCAGTGTGATGAGCCTGGCATTCAAAACTGCGGAGTGGTTTTTTGGAGCAACCGTCATTAAAGCAAACATTATGCATGGTTTACTCAGGCAAAAATAAAACAAAATGATAGGGCTGAAAAGAATATCGGAAAGCTGAGCCAGTTAATTAGCATTCATTCTAATAAGACTGGGCATGCAAACGTGGACACAGGAAAGACACCACAAACTCAGACTAACAACTGAAGAGGTGCACAATAAAAGAAAGAAAATGTCAAACCTTATATGTGCATGCTCATGCAGAGGGCAAACTTATCAATCCTGCACACATTGTGAAAGATAACTCTTACAGCATTTCTTTCTTATGCAACTTAATCGAAGGTCAACTCACACATGTGCTACCACTGTTATGGATATGCCATGCCTCAATCATTAGACGCATTCTGTCATTCCTATGGCAGAACAAAATGGGTGATGTATGGTTAAAATGCGCATCGAATTTTGGCAGTTGACAGTTGGCGTTTGGGGTGTCGTGACTTATTAGTTCATAGGTGGGTTAAAAGAGACACTAAAGGAGCAAAACAATTTTCCTCATATCAGCAAATTATTCTTTCATGATGTTAAATACACCATGCCTGTTACAAGAACGTGCTTGGCAAGTGAGAAAACATGCCAAAAAAAGGAGCGGAAGGCAACCCCACATTGAAGTTAACGCACCTGTCGCAGGACATTGTGGACTTTGACAACATTTAGTGATGCCTACATTGTTCCTAATTGACAAAAAAAGTACATTATCTTCTGAGGGAGCTGCAGACAACATAGTAAGTTTCAGAAAATTTTGTTAGGCCACTGTGGCCTAAATACAAAAAGAAAAAAAAGCTCTGATACTGCCATCAGAGATTTTGGTGAAAAATCTGAAATTGAAACTCTTATATTGATGTTCTTATCTATAAACAAAACTATTGTGGTGAAATTGACACTAAAGCTTTCGGGAGTAAAATTTATCTGCCTAAACAAACTGTTTCACTTCAGCGCCCCTTTAACATGCTGAAACCACAATATTGCCATGTGGCCATGACAGAGAAGGCAGCAGCCTGTGGGCTCAAAGCAAAACTATGAACCTGTGCCCGGTAAATGAGAAGTCGAACTACAAACAATATGCGCTGTACCAACGCCTCCTAGAAAAACTATGCCTGGAACGTCGCTCTCTTTCCAATTGGGAGCTACCTGCCAGCACAAAATCTCGGAGGCCATGCCTCCTGCCGCGTGTTGCAACTGTCCGCCGCGTGGAACCGCTCGCCTCCGTACCGCTCAGTCACGTGACATTACCTCACCACTCTGCCACGTGACATCACAGCTGCTCGGAGGCAACTGTGAAAGCATTCCTGTGCTTGCAGGGGTTCGTACTGGAGGAGGAGGGGAAAATCCGAGGGTAGAGTGGCGCGTTCGCGGCTCACGTTCCGGGCATAATTTTCTAGGAGGCATTGGCTGTACACTGATAGCAACTAACGCAGCGTTGGCCATCAATAATCTGACTAGCGCAAAAGCGCGTCTGCTAATATACATGTGCCATCGAGAAATCCAGCCTTATTGCTGGTAACTCCACAAGCTCTCAAGTTGTTCCCACCTTGAGTGCAGTTCTAACAGAATGATCATAGACATTCATGGAAGTTTCTGAAATGTTGCAACAAGGTCTGTGTAGAGAGTAGCATGCAGTCTTCGCGGCTAAAATCTGAATACATCGAAGTAACAGGTGCGGCAAAATGATTATGTCATGCGCTGTAAGGTTAAGACCGAATCACATGATTTTTTCATTGTGCACCTATGTCAAGGTGCGCGAGTGTTTCTTGCATTTCACCAACATTTAAATGCACCAGCCTCCTTGGTGGGGAATCGAACCTACATCCTTGAGGTCAGCGTTACAACACCATAGCTGCAAAGGTACGATAGAAAGTCCCATAGATAAACGATTTCTATTTTAACACATTAAAAACAGAAGAGAACGAAGCTGCTAAGATTGAAATCGTATTGACTTCCAAAAAGTATAAGGCATGCCAGTGTCCAGACGCTGCAGCAGAGTTTTTTTGGTGTAACATTTTATTTTTGTGACATAAGGGTACACACATTACAAGGGCAGGCAGCACATGACTAGAGAAAGGCTGCAATAATAAGAGTTCTGAGATCACTGCATGAACATGAGAATCACGGCATCATTAATACAACAGCAGCAATAAAGAGAGCCCCATCAACACCTCTAAAGCTGAACAGACTTTCTGATGGCACGCGTTTGCACCGCATAACAGCATGCAGATTCAAATCCTTGTTAGCGTAAACAGCAGTACTCTTTACCACTTTCGGAACCGCAGTTACACTTGCGAGACTTCATGCTGTTAAACACTTGACACGTAGGTGTCTGCGGCTGAGTTGGTTTTCAGCACAATGCAAAGAATGCTGTCCTAGAGGAAGAGATTTGGACTCTGATCATATGACTTAAAAGTGAATGTATTTGAACATGGATTTCTTGGAGGAGCCGAAACATCAACATGCATTAGTTTTTTAAATCATTTTGGTCGGCGTCCCTATCACTTCTTTTAGAATGTTTCATGCCGGCCAGGCGGGCTTTCGACGTACTCTTGAAGAATGCCGTCGCTCGTTGAAACCAATTTTCTTCACACCAAGTAATCTGAAACCTTGTGCCCGTCACTGCGCCCACGAGAGTGATCGACAAACTATACTCCCTTTACCTTCCTGAACAGTAACAAGCAATCGTTTTCGAGAACAAACTTCTCCACAGTGGAAACAATCTCAGAGGCTCCCATAATTCACTTTTGTATTTTTGGTTACTAGGGCCAAGTGCACTGTTTTATAAATATATGGAACACGTAACATTGAATGTAATTGACTAGAACTACTTACTGTGACATCACAACATTACACAAGGTGTGTTTTAGCTTACTAAGCCATGCAGGCACATACAAGGTGTGTTTTACTTCATACTCTAACGTGTCATTGAAACATTGTTTCAAAAGCTGGGTAAGACATTTGATCAATTGTCCTGTCAAAAGCATGTTCCCAGCATATAAAGACCTGAGCGATTGCTGCAGTCAGAGAATTTTTGATGTGTGTGAATGAAATGAGTTGTAGCTGATCAACGAAATGACTCAAGTGAACTAAACTGTCATGGGACTTCAAGTAATGTCTCTGGAATAAGCCCACTAAGTGACATACAAATTTATAATTCAGAAACAATGCTAGAAAGGAACCACTACATTTAGAATGACAGGTCATGTGAAAACTATCCGACTTGAGCAATAAAAAGCTTAATTGTCAATGAACGCTGAACACTGTCAACCTTGCAGTGATAACACACGTTGATGGCATTAGTGGGACGTTGCAAGTTGCGTGTCATATTTTCCTGTCTGTGCTCTATTTGTTCAGTGTCTACCAGAGTTACAACAAGTGATAAATTTTGTTGCTCTAGCGACAATAACCTTCATTGCAATAACAACGTCACATCGCATCAAAAATGATGGAATCACAATTTGTTAATGTATTTCAAAGACGTAAGGCCAGTTGTCGCTCTGGATCTCCACTCACAGGAAGATTTGCCTATCTAACACCAGGAAACACATGCATATGTATGCACATAAAATGCAAGCATGTGAATATGTAAGTACAGATATAATAGTGATGACTTTTAGCGCGCTGTAAAGACACTCCGACAGCTAGTTCCAACACAAGACAACAGAAATTGCTATGAAACTATGAATACTGTGTGGTTTCTAAAATTGTCGTAAACATCTAAAAGCAGTCAGAAATACTATTAATGACAACACCATGCCATCTAGTAGAACAACATATTATAGACCAGAAAAATTTTGTAAAGCTTACTAATAATTTCCGCCCTCTACAAAAATCGAGCAGCATTATCACAGCCAACAACAAAGAAGTATGCTTATATATATGCTTGTTACAAGGATTTGAGGCAACTTGAGTTGGACAGAATTTTAGACACTGTAAAAGCCCAGCTTCAGGTATTGATCTAATAGAAGAGCTTATAGTTTATCTATTACTTTATTTATTTACCTATCTGTTTATGCAGTTTACTATAACTGGCCTCAAGTGTAGACTAGTCTCATGCCAGGAAGTTCAAATGAATTCCATTGAAGAGCAGTTTTTAAGACCTAGTGTATCAAGTCGTTATGAAAACATGCAAATAACAATATGATAACAAAAATGAGCTAGTAAAATATGTAAATCAACATGACCATCAAACAAAGCCGACAAAGAGTAAACTGACAAAACCAACAATGCTTGTGTTCCATGGTTTTCTTCGCTTGTTCACGCCTTGTTCATGAAGCTTCCTTGTAAAGATACGCTGATTAGCAGTATGTGAACAGAAGAGACGTCAGTGCAAAACCAATGCTTCGAGAAGGAGTCATCTTTGCGAGACAAATGCGAATATAGTATCCCGAGAAATCGTTTTAAGGAATGTATGACTACATTAGTGAGATCTTGCGTGACTCGGCACAAATGAGTAAGCGTTAATGACTCAGAGTTTTTTCGATACTGTGTCAAGCTCACCAGCTTTGCACAGTCTCCGTAACGTTGCTGACTATTTACATCATTATATCATGAGTTGAGCCATGCAAGAGTGAATCGAGTTAAACAATATCTGTTTGAGAGACAATGTCTTTGGACTACACTGGACTATATCTTCCTTTGTTCGATAAGCAGTCTGAAAGCTCCACAGACAAGCAATTAATAGCTTTGCTGGTCTTTCATTTAGAAAAACAAATAAAAACAATGCGGAAATAGGATTCTGTCATTACAATCGAAAACCTAGATTCAAAACCTCACCATGAAAAGGTTACGCTAAAAAGCAAAACACTACGTTTGTTAAATAGTATATTTGTTACTTGCCGATATTGATGATAGGTGTTCCACATTTATGTTGTTATATCATAGGCTTCATTACATCCAGGTATATTATATCGAGGTAGAACTGTATACTAAGTATACATACTTGGATGCATTACTGGTATTTGTGGATGGCAAAAGGAAATCTGCGATCACAGTTTGTTCGAACGATACAACCATGCATGAAGCTGTTGCGAGTGTTCACTGGAATATAAGCCTTAAGTTTTGTTTGAAATAAGGCAACAAGCAGAACATTTTGTATACCATAGGCGGTGCTTCACCGCATCTGTTTGGTGACCAGCGGCCCACTGACGGCAGATGTGAGACACTGCTACGAAACCGTGAGCTCACAGTTGCGTTGTGACACTACAGAATAATGGATCGCTAAACCAGCTAGTAATACAGTAGACTCTCATTAAACAGAACCTGGTGGGAACAGGAAAATATCTTTTGTTTGACAGGAGTTCGGTTTACTGAGATGATCAGGTGTGCAAAAGTAAGAACGGAATCAATCTTATCGAAAGCCCTTGTTTCATTGAAACAGCAGTTCCAATTAACAGATCGCCATTTACTGTGAGTCTACTGTGCTCCTTGATCATCTTGAAAACAATGCGAAAGCAACACAGACAGAGGAAGATACAACAGAAGAAGAAAACCATTGCAATCTTTGAGGCTGTGAAGGTGGTTGGAAAGGCTTGTTGTTAATCTTTAGGATTCAGAATAGTGCCTTCCGACACCATGTGCTAAGTGGTCCCATGGGCAATAGGTTGTTGGTATTTAAATGAGTATTTGAGTTCAGTGCAGTGCGCACTTTCATCTCTCTTTTTTGTCCGTGTTGTTTTTGTGCTGTTTTCAAGATGTTAAAGTTGTGGGGCTATGGCTCCTTACGTCCATTCGGAATGGAGATGGCCCCTGGCTGGTGTAGAATGACTAAGGTGCAGCAGTTGGTCCGTGCGAGTTCAGAGGCGGAACTTGAACACCTTACGCGGGCTGTCCAGATCAGCAACATAAAGTGACTGACCGTCAGGAGAGAGTGTGATGGCATGTGGCTGCACCATTGGCTGCAATGAAAAAGAAAAACGCTATGGATTTGAGACATGATTCACAATTTTGTTAGCTTGACATGATGGCTTGAGAAGACGCCACAAAGTGAGGCTAGCAATGCATTCGACTAGTTCCAACCTTGTTCAAGTTAACTTTGCAATAGTTTGAAGTTGCCTCAAAGGACAAAGAAAGGCTTGATTGATGACCACCCATTTATATCATGCAGCCACAAGAAAATCCAAGTGAATTGCTCACTTAGTAAATCTTCTTAGTTGGTGAACTATTGCCCTGGTCTGGGAATCGAACCTGAGACCAATGCCTTTCTTGGAGTGTTTTACCAACTGAGCCTGCCTCAAAACCAGCAATTCGCAGTGCGAGGGTGAGTTAACAACTCAACGCGTATAGAAATAGGATGCTATATTGATCAATATTCAACATTGTTTATTTGCAGGAGAAAAAAAATACAGAATTTTTTCCTGCGGGAGGCAACGAATAAAGGCTAAAAGCCTGACGAGGTCTAACCCCCTATAACAGGTTCGATAACCAAACCAGGACAAATTTTTCCTTCATTTAGAAGCTTTCCTTTATGAAAAATGCGCATAGACTTTCTTCTAGCTTCATGCTACAAGTGGTGTTTGGTTAGCCCGCAAACATGCATAAGGAAAAAAGAAACAGGTGGCCATGCCACCTTGTGTTTACACATCACTTGCAGTGGAATTGTAGATTCTGAGGATGCTTCATACATACTTAATTATTTGAGTGGAGCTGTCTTAAAATTTCTACGTGTCCCCACAAGAGCAAACACAGTCAAAATACAAATTATTAATTAATTTTAAGAAGCTAAAAAATTAAAAAAAACAAAATATAAGAATAATTCCCCAACTCCCTTGAACCCAATGTACTGGCTTGTCGTGCGTGCCACCCCCCCCCCCCCCCCAAAAAAAAACCTAGCGCCGCCATTGCACCTTCGTGCTCCATAACTTCTACGTAAGATGAAAAAGTTGCGCCTGAGCAAATGTTATGGCTGATTGAAGCTTGTGACACTTGTGGAGCTTGTGTACAAAGAAAAAATAAAAGCAGTGCTGCACCGTAATGGCAGTGCCACCGAATCAACTTGGCACTACATTATGCACCCTAGTGACAAACTATCTGTGCTGATGGTTGTTATTATGCTAACCTTCATAGAGTTTCTTGTAAATACACTAGAGAGAACTCTGGCACTAGTGCCTGTGAGAGCTGCAATGCATGGTGCTTCAGCGAGCATGGGAGTGATGGGTAGTACACATATTTACACATAAGTACACATAGTACACATAATATTCGTACTTCTTGCTCTGTTTGGCTTTGCATAGCTTGTAATGAGACGACAATGCGCAAATGTTCGGCTCTTGTGCCTCACCACTTTAATCTGTTAGGCTCACCAATCCAAATTGACTGATGAAGTTCACAATGGTTCGTTCTTTTATTTGAAACAAAACCAAAACACAGCAATAAACAAAGCCACATGCGCATTTGAAGCCTGCAAGCTCGAAGACTAGGCAAATTTGGGTACTACCCTTCCTTCCCATGGTCGCTGAATGATTGCTGTGTCAGAATCCTTTAATTTTAAGAAACCCTATAGCAACCTAGACGCAATAGGCCATGATAAGGAAGACACAAAATGCCTTCATAAATTATGAATGCTACTTGCAAGTGGTGTCGTACGTGACACGAAGATGACTGCACACTGTGCAAAATGAACAGGCAGTTTTGCGATGACTCGTGAATGACGCCGTACATGCTGAATGCTACTTGCCACAGATTCTGGGGTGAAGCGCTCAGGTGTGGCACTTGGCTCAAGCTCCAGCTGGAATGCCGACGACTGGTTGGGGGCCAAGGACTGTACGCCATACAGGGTGTGCCCTGCGCCAGACGAAGGTGGAGGTTAGAGGGGGAAGCACGTTAACGCCAAACAACAGAATGGAACGATACAGATGAAAGAAACAAAAGTTAACAGGTGAAGCGCTGCAACAGATGAAGCACTGTACGTGCAAAGGGCTGCGACAGGTCAAGCAGTGTGATGAAGTGCAACAGCACCTTGCCTCTTCAAGCATCGTTCTGTGGTGTTGACTTATACAACATTTAACAAACTCGGCCAAGATTACTCTCTGAAGTTGAAACCAGAGCACAGCAGTGTTTTGTCTGTCACTACCATCTCATTTGACAGCCTCACTGCTTATATGGCAACATATTCAAATAAGGTTGTGAGAAAGTGTGGTCTCTGAATAATTACTGAAATCAAGGCTTCGACAGATGTCCGTACGGTCAAGAAGAATCATTGAATTCGGGAAGAATCACTGAATCATTGAAGGTTGCGAACAAGACTCCCGTTCTGGGTGCCGAAACGTCTTAATGCATCTTTATTTTTCTCTTGAGCTCCGTGCCTTTGTATTTTATTGACTGAATTTTTAATGTAACTTATTTTCTTTTACTATTACTGGCTGACAGCTCGATTAATGCACGAGAGTGGGCAGGCATCATTACCAAGAAGACTGCTGTCACGAATGGTTCCTGCTACCATAGGCAGAGAGTACAGGGGGGGGGGGGGCCATGACTTCTTCGGGCTGCTTCATGGGAGGAAGAGCCACCCTGGTGCTGGCCTGGGATATTTTTTAGTAGCTTTGCTTGGGCTCAAATTCATCGCCAATAGACTGTTGGCCATCTTTGCTTGCAGTTATTGCACAGGGGACTGTTTGTGTTCGTTCCTTTTCCTTTCAGGCTTTTCAAATTTGGTTCATGAGGCAGTGATAAGAAGAGAGTTTGGCGCCGTGGTCTCGAAACGCAGCAATTGCTTGGCTCTTGTGCAAAACAGGTACAAGATGTACGTGTATGCATCAAGAAAATGAAAGTTTTTCTATGAAATGTCTATTTCATAGAATTTCTTTATTGTCTTCTTAATACTTTCGATGAGTCTCGCTCTCTCTCTAAACGCACACACACACACACACACACACGCACGCACGCACGCGCACACACACACACACACACACACACACACACACACACACAAACAAATATATATTCAGCAGGAAGTTTAGAGAGTGGGTATGTATAGAAAACACAAGCGAGTACACGTACCAGAGAGCAATACTTTTATGCCTAACGTTTCAGCCGTGACGTGGCCTTCGTCAGAGAATGAAGAGTAGACAAGCATATGCATCATGTATTGCTCTCTCGTATGTGTACTCGCGTGTGTGTGTGTGTGTGTGTGTGTGTGTGTGTGTGTGTGTGTGTGTGTGTGTGTGTATATATATTGTGGGCATTTAGTATACGCATCCTCTTTGCCGGCACACTATCATCATTATCATGTGTGGCTTATGCATCCTCATCGTTGTCGCGTAGCATCATCATCTTGGCTCATTCATGATAGCTGTCGGCTGCCGGTTCCTCGGGCCTAATAAAAGGTAATCCAAACCAAGACTTCATACGTGGTGGAGGTGCTGTTAGATCCCCCGCCATCCTCTCGACCACTCTACCCCCTGGAGCTACGTTCAGGTCGCCGCTTGGGCCAGGTGTCCGGAAATATGTCGCACCAAGATGAGGCCGGTGCTGCAGCCGTTCCCACTCCACCAGTGCATGCCACGCCTTCTCACGTCATCAACAGCCTCCAGCGTGAGCCCCATCCCTTCGCTGGTATGCGCGGGGAAGATGTGGAGGAATGGCTTGACGATTTCGAACGTGTCGGCGCTGCTATCCGGTGGGATAACACCTACAAACTCGCTCACGTGTCATTCTACCTCACGGGTATTCATCACGGGGATGGCTCATTCATCGTAGCTGTCGGCTGCCGGTTCTTCGGGCCTAATAAAAGGTGATCCAAACCAAGACTTCATAATATATAGATAGAGAGAGAGAGAGAAATGTGAAAGAGTATGTCGAGCGCTATGCTTCCCCTCCGGGTACAGTTAAACCCCTTTATAAGAGGCATGCTCCGGGCAGCAATTCTTGCCTTTCATACCATAAGACGTCTCTAATAAGTAGGGCACATCGTAAGCATTTTCTTATCAAATTGTATTTTATTGTATGCACACTGTCGTCCCTTATATCAGTGTCTCTTATAAAAGGGTTTGACTGCTACGACTACTGCTACTATATTAGTATTACTGTCACTATCCCCATTGCAAATGTCTGCCTGACTGGGCTACAATATGCAAGGACCCCAGAGCACTAGAAAGCCATACATGATAGAGTGTCCTTACACCATTAGGATGCCAAATAATAGAACAAAAAAAAATTAACAGATCCCACGTACAGTGAGAATCCAAATAAGAAGAAAGAAAAGTGGATGAAAAAATTACCAACTGTGAGCAGGAATCGAACCTACGACCTTCGAATTACGCGTTCGATGCTCTAACCACTGAGCTATCACAGCGGCCCTCCCTCCATCCACTTTTTTGGGTTTATCTGTGAATTTAGAAGTAGGAGCGACAGTCAGCGCCATCTATAAGCCAAACAACGAGTGTGAAAACACTCTTATGCGCATGTTTGGCGTCACGTAGCACGTGAACTTATCATGAGCGGGCAGCTGATTAATTGTCCCTCTTATACAACCTAAACACACCAAGTCTGCCAGTACGAGACCCTCGTTCAATGAAATAAGGAAAAGAAGTGTATACCTAAGGGCTCGTTTTTCCGTGTTTTAACACAATATTAATGAGATATAACAGACAGTAATGCCAAGGAATGTACAGGGGAAGTTATTAAAATCAATGGAATGTAAATAAGAAGAAAGAAAAGTGGATGAAAAAATTACCAACTGTGAGCAGGAATCGAACCTACGACCTTCGAATTACGCGTTCGATGCTCTAACCACTGAGCTATCACAGCGGCCCTCCCTCCATCCACTTTTTTGGGTTTATCTGTGAATTTAGAAGTAGGAGCGACAGTCAGCGCCATCTATAAGCCAAACAACGAGTGTGAAAACACTCTTATGCGCATGTTTGGCGTCTTCTTTCTCTTATTTATACACTTCTTTCCCTTATTTCATTGAACAAGGGTCTCGTACTGGCAGACTTGGTGTGTTTAGGTTGTATAAGAGGGACAATTAATCAGCTGCCCGCTCATAATAAGTTCACGTGCTACGTGACGCCAAACATGCGCATAAGAGTGTTTTCACACTCGTTGTTTGGCTTATAGATGGCGCTGACTGTCGCTCCTACTTCTAAATTCACAGATAAACCCAAAAAAGTGGATGGAGGGAGGGCCGCTGTGATAGCTCAGCGGTTAGAGCATCGAACGCGTAATTCGAAGGTCGTAGGTTCGATTCCTGCTCACAGTTGGTAATTTTTTCATCCACTTTTCTTTCTTCTTATTTACATTCCATTGATTTTAATAACTTCCCCTGTACATTCCTTGGCATTACTGTCTGTTATATCTCATATATATATATATATATATATATATATATATATTGTGGGCATTCAATATACGCATCCTCTTCGCCAGCACATTATCATCATTATCATGTGTGGCTCATGCATCCTCATCATTGTCACGCAGCATCATCATCTTGGCTCATTCATCCTAGCTGTCGGCTGCCGGTTCCTCGGGCCTAATAAAAGGTAATCCAAACCAAGACTTCATTTGTGGTGGAGGTGCTGTTAGGTCCCCCGCCATCCTCTCGACCACTCTACCCCCTGGAGCTACGTTCAGGTCGCCGCTTGGGCCAAGTGTCCAGAAATATGTTGCACCAAGATGAGGCCGGTGCTTCAGCCGTTCCCACTCCACCACCGCATGCCGCGCCTTCTCACGTCATCAACAGCCTCCAGCGTGAGCCCCATCCCTTCGCTGGTATGCGTGGGGAAGATGTGGAGGAATAGCTTGATGATTTCGAACGTATCGGCGCTGCTAACCGGTGGGATAACACCTACAAACTCGCTCACGTGTCATTCTACCTCACGGGTATTCATCACGGGGATGGCTCATTCATCGTAGCTGTCGGCTGCTGGTTCCTCGGGCCTAATAAAAGGTAATCCAAACCAAGAATTCATAATATATAGATAGATAGATAGAGAGAAATATGAAAGAGTATGTCGAGCGCCATGCTTCCCCTCCGGGTACAGTTCAACCCCCCTTATAAGAGGCATGCTCCGGGCAGCAATTCTTGCCTTTCATACCATAAGATGTCTGTAATAAGTAGGGCACATCGCAAGCATTTTCTTATCAAATTGTATTTTATTGTATGCACACTGTTGTCCCTTATATCAGTGTCTCTTATGAAAGGGTTCGACTGTACAAACGCCTATGACTGTTACGACTACTGCTACTATATTAGTACTGTATTTACTCGATTCTACCGCGCCCTAGATTGTAAGGCGCACCCGATTTCCACAGCGAAAAAAAAAAAAACGTAAGACATTGATTGCAACGCGCACCCATTTTTCTCGTTGGCCCGCACGATCACACCACTCGAAAAAACGACTCTTTTCGGGAGCGTCTTCCATTTAAATATGAGGTACGGGCGAAGCTTGTGCCCATCTGACGTGTAACAGAGCATTGCCGTCACTGTAGTTTTACCGTGTCAGCACGCGAACTTGCTTCGCCCCCTTCTTCTCGACGGTTGTGGTGCCAGGCATGTCGAAGTAAAGAGGCGTCTGATCGGCATTCCCGATTTGCCCAAGCAGGTAGCCGTTGTTGCGCCGCAAGTTTAGGACGAACCTCTGAAAACTGTGAAGCTTTTCATCGTACTCATCCACAAAACTTTTCGCATATGCATGTTCCCCTTTTGAGGGAAAAGCCTTTCCTCTTCATAAAGTTAGTTAGCCAGCACCTGCTCGCTTTAAACTGGCTCCGCATTAGACCATTTTCTAAGACTAATTGCATAGCCCGCACTTGGAGCAGTTCTGTCGTCACGGGCCGCTGTGCCGCTCGCTGCTCAAGCACATACTCGCCGAGCAGCTCTTTAATTTGCGAAAACCGACCCTGCTGTGGTCCACTGAAGCCTTTGCGTGAAGCTTTGCTGTCGACAATCTTTTGCTTTTGTTTTTGCCGGTCCCGCACGCACGTTTCGGGAATTCGAAACGACCGCGATGCAGCCCGATTTTCGTTCGTTTCTGCAAACGCGATGACTTTTCTTTTAAAAGCAGCATCGTGGTGCACTCGAGTTTTTGGAGTCAGCCCTTCCATGTCGTTGATGCTAATGCACTACTAGATGACGAACTCCTCAGCACACGTACGAAGTGCCGCACATGGGAAACACATAGGCAGAAATGGCCGATGCGCCATGCCGACGCACGTAGGGGGCGGCCATTTTGGATTTGCCAATGGCAATAGATTGACCGTAATTTTTTTGCTCGTACTCGATTCTAACGCGCATGCGATTTATGAACTCGCTTAACCGGAAAAAAGGTGCGCGTTAGATTCGAGTAATAACGGTATTACTGTCACTATCCCCATTGCAAATGTCTGCCTGACTGGGCTACAATATGCAAGGACCCCAGAGCACTAGAAAGCCATACATAATAGAGTGTCGTTACACCATTAGGATGCCTAATAATAGAACAAAAAAAATTAACGGATCCCACGTACAGTGAGAATCCATAATATGCGAAGCACGAATGAAAAATGTTGATATGTCACTTTAAAATCAGCACAACGTTATGAGGTGGAGGTAAATGATGATGAACATGGCTTCCGTGTCATGATTATCATGTTTGGATGTGTCGTTTACCTTGGTCATCTATTCACTTCACGTGATACCAAATTTATGCATGTGGAGCTAGCGAAACGGCCACGAGCACCCTATGACCGTGGTATGTTGTCATGTTCTTACATGACAGGCGCGTCAGGATTATCATGCTTGCACCAGTCATACATTTTGTCATTTATTGACGTCACGTAACACTAAATTTGGTATATGTGGAGCTAGCAAAACAGCTGCGAGCGCATTATGAAGGGCCAAATGTAGCGTTGACGCGTGCGCACGCTGGGCAGAGCGACGCTACGTTAGCAAAATGCAAGCAACTCTATAGTTTGACACCAGGCACGACCAGCGTCCATTGGCGCGACCCGACGGCAACCGGTGCGAATGCAACATGCTGCATTTCGCGCTGATGCGTTACCCAGACAACACTGCATCTTCCTCTTTTCGTGACGAAGGGATACTGGACGCGCTCAAACGTGCGTGCGTCAAAGCAACGCTGTGCAATGCGCGCTTGCAAGAAGGACAGGACCGGTGCCAGGCGTGGCAATTTCTGCGCGACGCGACCAAATGAACGCTGGCAAGCACGTGCACCACGTCACGTCGAAATGTATTGGCACCTTGACTGTAGCATGCAGTCATGTTCTTACATGACAAGTATATCATGATTGTCATGTTCGCACTAGTCACACACCTTCGTCATCAAATTGGCGTCACGTAATACCAAATTTGATATATGTGAAGCTAGCGAAACGGCCGTGAACTCATCATCAATGTGGCATGTAGTCATGCTGTTACATGATACGGGTGTCGTGATTATCTTGTTTGGATGTGTCATTTACCTATGTCGTGTGTTCGGGTAATACCGAGTTTGGCACATGTGAAGCTAGCGAAACGGACACGAGTGCATCCTGAGCATGCCATGTAGTCATGTTGTTACATGACACGCATCTCATGTTTAGCACGATCCACCAGTATCATACCTACATGATCCATTCACGTTCCGTAATACCTAATTTGGTATAAGTGAAGCTAGCGAAACGGCTGCCAGCGCATCATGAGCGTGGCATGCAGTTATGTTGTTACATGACACGCATCTCATGATTATCATGTTTGCGCCAGTCACATACCTTCGTCATCCATTCACGTACTGTAACACCAAACATGGTAAATGTGATGCTAGCGAAACGGCCGCAAGCGCATCATGAGGAGGCATGTAGTGATGTTGTTACATGGCATGCATGTCATGATTTTCATGTTAGGGTCTGTCGCTTCTGTTCGCCATGCAATCATGCCATACCATACCAGTTTTGCAACATGCCAGGTGAACGAAACCACTGCAAGAGCTGCAGGACCATGAAATATAAATCATGACATTCATGACATACACGTCATCATTTTCATGTTATTAGTAGTCAAATATGTTTTTCATAGAGTCATGTTATGCCATACCAATTTTGCTATCGATACCATTATCGAAATGGCCAGGAGAGTTAAAAATCGCAGGTGGCTAAATAGTTAGACAGATACGCTCGAAGTCACCGAAGTTCGCTAAAGAATGCTTCGCATTTAAAAAAGAATTGTTCTTCTATAAAATTCTTAGATTGGTACCCAGTCACCTTATTCACAAGGGTTGACTTTTCGTTGCTTATCCCACTTGCTCCATAAATCTGCTTTTCCTTGTAGTGCTGCTGTTATTGCTGCACGCTCTCACTGTAAGCGCTACTCCATAGAGATGAACAGTGCAAGCAGCAGGACAAGAAAGAACCGACAGGATGAAAGTTCTTTTATTGCTGTGCCATGAAGCTAACAAAAATAAGTTCTAATCTCTTTTAACAGAAAACAGTTGTAACTACTCCTGGCATAGCTCCTAGTTCTGCTTATGATAAGTATATTAGGGCTTTTTTTTTCTGCCGAGTTTCTTGTAGAACTTTCCAGCCGCTTGTCGCGCTTTTTGGCTTATATGCATTTTCCCAGCAAATAAAGTAATTTTTACTGATCCTCATGTTCTCAATAACACATTTGTCAATGACTGATTAGTGCACTAGTGAAGTCACACATTTGTAGGTAGAATCAACAAGTGACAAGAATCACACACAGTCAAATGTGCATTTATTCCAAAGGAGATTACCTAGGAGGCGATGAATGAGCGCTTTATTTGCCAGCTGCACATATTTTTGCTATGCAAAATAATTAGTAAAATAATTAGCAGAAATCTGTAGGTCATGAAAGCTTTGCTTAAAGTGAGAGACACTTCTGAGGACATACCTCTAGCAGCGACGCCATACACACGCTGCAGGTGTTCCCCAAGGGCCAGCACAAGGTCGCCCAGGTCACGGCCCGCTCGAGGGCCTCGTGCACCCGCCCAGTAGCAGAGCACCCGGCGCCGCTCACGGTCCGCCACGCACACCACGTTCATGGTGGGCACGTAGGCTAGACCGTGTGGCACCAGCATGCGCTCTGGTGACATCAGGGGCAAAGAAGACCCCAATGCACTGACGTGAAACACACACTAGCAGCACATATGAAAAGGATATATTGAGACACGCATACTAAAGGAAAAAAATTGGCAGATCTAGCATACCTAGGGAATCAATGTTATGCGAAACATGGGCATGCAAGCTGACTGTATTGTAGTTTTTTTATTGAGCGAAACGTTGCGAAGTGGGGCTAAAGACATGTAAAATTGTGCACACAGATATACATTAAACAGCTGAAAATGTTTTATATAACCAGTTATTTACAGTTGCATAACGATGCTAACAGCAACATCAATATTAGCCCCAGAACAAGTAAGCTGATATGAAGCACTGGTGCTCGTGAAGATGGTAGCTCTGGACACAGCTACATAAATCAACTTCAGGGGATGGTGCCTAACTACAATTGATGTTGACCCGACGTGATGGCTGCATCAAAGGAGTACATAAGTAATGTTTGTAAAATTGGATAGCCAGTACTGCAACCACAATTCACGTTTCATGAACATTAGGGTCTCTTAGCAAAGTATGTCCGAGACCTGGCATGGCTCTGTGGTAGAATGCTTGATTGTTTAGCAAAATTCTTGGGTTCGATTCCTTCCTACACCCAGACATTTTCTCTTCGCATTTGTCTGGACAATGCTGCCAATGTCAAATTTTTCTTAACATTTACGCGATAAAATTGCCCATGTGTGTTCTCGCCGTTTCTGGGTAGATACAAACTGTCCACCACCTGTGGCACATACCTGCCCGTGGGTATGTTCCACACGTCTGGCGGAAAGGTTGTGATGACATAAGCTACAGGATTAAGACATTATTTATATGATGACCACCGAATCATATTTGTCAAACCATGTTACCCCCCTTCCCCATACTAATTTTGGTTTAGCCCAAGTTAAGGGGATAATCATGAGAGTACCCAGACATAGGCGGCTAGGCAGACGGATAGGCACTGAAAAGGGCTCGCAGTACACAGAGAAATGCTTTGCATTTACAATTCGCAGGGTCACAGGGTACGCATTTGTCCAAAACAACACGAAGGCTAAAGCCCCCATCTTTTTATTTTTCAAGTCGAAGTACCAAACCTACCCCACCCCATGATAAGTGGACGGATCACGGAGGCAATGCAAAGAGACAGTGTCACATTGCAGTTCCATCATGTGACATCACAATCTCTGATGTCATCATGACATCACAATTTTTGTGTGTGTTCATCGTGACGTGATCATGATGTCTTTTTGCATCACTCCTTTCGATAGTGCCGACATGGGATGTTGATAGTCAGTTTAAGTTTTGATGAAGGAACTAAGGCTTTTGCTTTAAAAGAACACTGTAGAATGCAGTTGAACCCATCAATAACGAAATCACAGGGGAAGAGATCTTTGCTTGTTATTGTGAGAATTTCGTCACAAAAGTAGAAACATAAGCACACTAATTACTTCACCCAACAAAAATTTATTTTAAGAAGTCACTGATCTTGTGCTGCCTGTTGATTTGAAAATAGTAGAGAGCGAGCTGCACAGGTTGCTGAAATACCCTGCAATGTCTACCCTTTTCTGCAATTCGCAGCTGCAGTGATGGTATTAGAAGAAGCCGGTTGCTTTACTCTAGTGGTGCGAAGACTGAGGTACCAGCCGAGCTGGTGGTGTCCCTATCCTTTTCAGCCTCATGTCCATATTCCTTTATATCGCTTTCGTTATTTATTTCTATCCTTCCTTCTTAATCTTCCATTTTCTTCTCTCTACCTTTACATTTGTCATTTGTTCTTTTTATCAATTTTCTGTCTTTGATTTTCTTTTTCTTTCTGCCTTTCATTTTCTCTGTTGATTTGGTACTTTATATGGTGTCCCTTATTCTCCTCACCCTCAAATCAGCCCTCTTCTACCTCACTCTCCTTTTCCACCCCCTATGCTATTCTATACTATGCAAGGCTATACTGTGCTCTGGTAGCTGCTTGTGTTCACAAGGTGTGTATCTATATGGGTTCGAATCTCAACCCGCGAACAAAATTTCCCCCTAGAAGCTCTCTCTTTCTCTTTCTTTGGTTCTCTCTCTCCCCGTACTTGTTGTCTCACTTCTAGAGTTAATGCATCCCGTGCCAGAGAAATCGGTGCTTGTTCTTTGGGAGCGAAGGTGAAAATAGAGATGATGACTAAGTTGAAAAAGAGGAAGTAGAGAGCATGTGCCGATCCTTTGTGACGTTTTTATGGTGAGATCGCACAAACTACCGTGTAAAACAGCTTTGCTGTTAAAACAGCATTGCCTCAAATGCTCACAAAACGTTCAGTTATGTTCCGAAAGATCCAGTTTTTACAATACTTATACCTTATAAAGATAGGGAGTCAAGTTCAAGTACAAGAGTGTGAGGCTACCTTGGAGCCCTATGTCAGCCAGGTGGTTTCCATCTCGGTTGAATACGGCAATGCGGTGGTTGCAGTAGCCGTCGCTGACAAAGATACGTCCAGACGGGCCCAACGCAACGCCTGTCGGCTTGCAGAAGTGGTTTCGACCGCTGCCCGGTTCAAAAGCATGACCCAATGCCAGTGGAGGTCCTGAAGAACCGAACCTGAAAACCTGTGCATTTAAAAATAAAGCGTTTCATTCAAGGCAGGGCTCCTTGTCTTATCTGAAGATAATGTTTTACGACAGTCATTGTACATACCAGAACACCACTAAATGTATATTACTAGAAGCTTGTCATAATTGTAGAGCTAGCTTTTCTGCGATGCAGTTAGCCCATCTAATGGCAGCTAGTCACTTCCTCAAAAAGCATCTTCAAGTGCACTTTTGCAGCACTATGAAGCGCAAAATGTACACTCTTAATATAAACACCCACAGTAGACAAGCCCCAGCATGTAGCTAGGATCGTGCCTCAACTTGAAGCACGACAGGCACCACCAACAGATGGGCAAACATGCAGTGCAGGAAAGCGCACTTCTGGATTAAGTTAGTGCTGGTCTATTACCAGCACTAACTTAATGCAAAATTTCCAGATTAGCTTGTAATTGTGAACTGTGTGTTCATGGCTTAAAAGAGGATTGGTGATGCTGTCATTGACCAAGTCGAAGTTAAAAACCTAGGCCAGGCAGTGTCACTGAGCACCGCTCGCCACTGGAAGTCAAATTCACCGTGTACTTGCAATCACAAGAGCTTCATCCTTTTCAATTCAGGACATGATTTGTTTCGTTAGTAATAGTTTTGCGCATCGATTCCTTCACTAGTTTGACTTCAAAACTTGTTGAGCTGCCTTGTTCATATTCTGCAAAACAGTGATGCCCATTCCTGTCTTTCGTTCCTTTCACCCTGCATTTCATTGTTACCATTTTGCATAATTTGACCTTTCAGAGATGATGTACACAACCTGCCTCCTGGCAGAGTAACCGCCCCGTAAAGGCAGTGGTGTGGCAGTCGATTTGGGGATTGAAACGAATTTTGCATCGCTTATGAAGCCTTCCCTTCAAAAAAAAAAAAAAAAGCACGGATTTTTTTTTTTTTTGGTGTTGTGTGCAGGCTGGTTCACGCCAACTTTTCCGTTTGCACAAGTATTCGACAGCTTTGCAGGTTTCTGCGGAACCGGACTAGGGATGCTCAAATGGTTACGCTCACCTGATGTAATGCCACATCCGTCGTCCACACGTGGTCATCGGCATCAACATGAATGCTGTGCGGCATGTAGAACCTGTGTGCATCATCAAAAAAATGGCATTTTCGAAAGTGGTGTGTAAACGGAACCTACGGTATTGAGTACCAGCAGTGCAGTACTAGTTAAGTGACATGGACGATCACAGGTTGCACTCAAGTGCGGTCGGCTTACAATAAAATAGAAAAAGAAATAACCGATCCCATGGCCCGTTGTGCATAATAAAAGTGAAATACAACATGCAATTGGTTTGGTTTCTATGCACAGAATAATAATTAGTAAATGCTTTAGCAACATAACTTGCAACAGTGTGCTAAAGCACACCATTACAAATTCAGATGAATCTAGATGCAAGACAACTCACTATAACGTTGTTTCAGAACTTTTCACACTATACTTGACTAGCATGAATGATTAATTAATCTATTCAGAAGCGGCTATATAGCATTCAAGAGTATTGAACATATAAAAAACGAAAGATATATAAAAAATAATCACTAACTACCAAATTTATATTGCCAATTCCAGGCGGGAGCATTCCTACCGCAATCCTTAGCAGCACATAAAGAATGCATCAGTGGTGCAGTGCAGACAATTGACAGGACTACGTGACAAAGTGTATGGAACAAGCTTGATTATAGTATGGACGTGTGTTGCGTCATGAAAAGGGCATACCTATTTATTGAACATTTGTAGAGGGTGTGAAAACTTCGCGGGTCACGAGAGAGGCCTTTGCTCTGCAGTGGGCCTAGTCAAGCTGATGATGACCCCGATAAACTTGGTGAGTTCAGGATTCCTTTCACACATCTTCTAAGTGTGCATGTGTAGTGCTTTAAAAGATACAGCCTTCTCAAAATGAATTAACCATTCATGCTAGCTCCAACTTTGAGCCCGCAGTGCCCAAAGGGAACAAAAATAGCGGCAGAGTGAAGTGCTCACATGTTCTGGCCCCAGTGATGAATCAGGGCACCGGACTGCGGGTCCACCACACAAATGGTTGGTTCCTTGATGACTGCATTCTGGTGTCGATACACATGGCCAGCCGTGAATGACCTGGGTGCGTGCATGACAGGTAGATAAAGAACAAACAGCTTTTGTAGATGATTGTAGCAAAACTCCAGGTGATTCCGATGTTGTTAAATAGTGCCGTGCCAAGAGCTCACATAATGATGATTACATCAATGCCAATGAGATCAGTGTAACACATATTACTTCCTCGCTTGAGTGTTCCCTGGCCTGGAGTATACCAAACTAAGTACCATTTCCCCATCTGTCGTGCAACAAAGACCTAGTTTTCGGTTAACTTCCAGCTGGGACAGTCTTCAGTTATTAACGCTCCAACAACTGCAGAAGGATTAACCGAAATAGAAAAGATCCATTTCCACAATTCTTGGTTCGAGAGAACATTCAGGTTATATATATATATATATTACTGATAAAGTGCAATAAGGCAGGCTCAATTATGCTCAATGAAATGTGAAAAACACAAAGCAGAGCTAAGACAAAACAAAAAGTAGAGCTGACCTGTGGGAAAAGACATCTTGTTACTGTATTATTAGTGACTAAATTATTATATTAGTTGCATAAAAATTGCTCTTACTTTTCTGTATCAATTCTTCATTGTGCCATTACTCTCTGGTTGGCATCACTTCAAAAGGGTATGGGACTGATCTTAATGCCAAATAGAGCAAATAAACACAATGTTTTGCAGTTACAAAGTATAAATTTTGCTTGCATATATATGGTGTGCATCACTCCCACCCATGTATATCACTATGAGAAAATTGATAGCATTTTAAAATAAACAAACACACCACAAGAGCACCTAAGTTTTATTTATTTATTTACTTGACCATACTGCCAACTCCTGCTTTTCCAATGACTGTCAACGCTACTGCATTGAAAACAAGTCATGGTCTTGGTGGCCGAGCTCACGTTTCATCCCAGACGACTGGGCCCCGGTGAAAGACGTACAGCTGGCCCCGGCTGTTGACAGCAACGCCGGCCACTTGGCCCAGCATGCTCTTGTTGGCAATCTCCCATCTCGTATCCTCCCATGGCAACAGGTTTTGCTGCAATAATAATAATAATTATTGAGGGTGTAACGTCCCAAAACCACCATATCATTATGAGAGGTGCTGTAGTAAAGGGCTTTGGAAATTTTGACCATCTAGGGTTCCTTAACGCGCACCCAAACCTAAGCACACAGGCCTACAGTATTTTCACCTCCATTGAAAATGTGGCTGCCACGACCGAGATTCGATCCCACGAATTGCGAGTCAGCATCCGAGTACCTTAGCCACTAGATGACTGCAACAGGCAGGTTGTGGTGCAACAGTTTTCAACAATGAAAAAGGCAGCACTCGTAACATGTTTCTGCAGTAAACCCTACGATATTGGGTAAACTAGGCTCATAAAAAGCGAGTTCTAAGCGAATAGTGATTTTGGTCGAATAATTTTGAATCGTATTCGAGTATTATATATCACATATCATGAAAAAAAATTGGCATATTTGTCATGACCCAACTAATCTGCACAATATTTTCAAAAGAATGAAAACAAGACTTGTGCAAATGCTACTTTTTTTGGTTCAAAGAAAGTAAAAACAACTTTGAATAGTAGCAAGATTTTAATTCCGATAGAAGCAAGTGATAACTTGAAAAAATAATACTTTTTAATATTTACTACACCTAAAGCATATAGGCCGATAAAACAAGCTTTAAAACTTAACATATGATGAATTGATGTGGGGGTAATATATTCGTTTAACATTAAAGTGGGGCTTAGTGACAGTGCAGGTTTCCCCAAATTAAGTGTTTTCATGGCTTAGCACATCTTCACTGCAGCAAAACCGCCTTTATGAAAAGTTATTTAGATAGGTGCTTTTGTAGCTTTGCATTTGTTTACTGCAGTAAAAACACCTTTACGGTGGGTTACATGACTACCAATTACACCTGCAACATAATGCATGCACCTATTTATTCGAAATTTTCAATCGAAGCGATTTGGAATACAGTAATATTTGAAACATTCGAATGTTCGCACAAGCCTAGGATGGACCTATCGAATAGCACGCAGAAGTACTGAACTCTTTGAGGCACTTTGTGGACATCTGAATGAGGAAGATGCGGTAAGCGTTGGAAGAATTAAACCTCCTGCTTAATAATGTCTCTTCATTAAACCTGATTTTTTAGTGTACTGTTGGAAATGATCACTTTGTTGCAGGCACTACCATGTACAACGAGTTGTACGACAGGCCTCTTTAGCGAGCCCACTTCAAAAGCATAATTTTTCTTTGCTCGAAATGAATACAACTGAAAATGAAATGTTATCGTATTTGAAGACTGAGATGTGATTCTATTGATGCATGAGGAGGACATGAATTATTTCAGGATAAATAGGTTTAGTGTAATTTCATAAAACTACTATAAACAACATGAATGAATAAACCTATTGTGATATCATTTTTATTGAAACAGACAATCAATTACTTTGCAACAATGTTCCAAAAACTTGAGTTTTTTACAGTTCTTCTTAAGTTGTGCCTGCAAGGAATAAAAAAAAACTGAAAAAAGGGTCTTAATCATTACAAATTCAAACCAAAATATGACTAGGGCAGAAGAAAGTTGATTGTACAAAGATGAGGTGTTCTGGATACTACATTATTACCGAAAGGGCTGATATGATGAGTAATGACAATTAGAGGACAAAGAAGAATAGAATATATGGCAAGTACAACAAATGAATTACTCCTAATTATTTTACGAATAATCATTCAATTCAATTTTATTTCACCTCAGGGATGAGGGCAGGTTCGGGAGAAAAGTGGCATTTGCCATTTGAGGAGGACCTGAATCTCCCTAATACATGGCAAGCAATGAAGACATAGATTGTGGGTAAAGAAACAAAGAGCATGAAAAAAAAAACAGCACGGTACAAGTGGAGATATGTATGCACACACACTACACACAAATGACAAATTACATGAGCAGTTTCTAGCTATGTATATTTCATAAAACTATGCAAAACATAACATAACACAAGTATTTTATATACACGAACAACAATTTTCTGCACACATAAAAAACAGTATAAAAATTGAACAAACCTCATTCTCTTGGCTGTCACAATAAAATTGTTTCTATTGTGACATGTACACTGCATTTTTCAATGATTATTTTTTGAAGTAGTTTATTAAGTAACTGGGGAACATTGAAGCACAGCATCCGTCACCCAAAACTTGTTCAACACAATGAAATGTTCCAGTGTTGTAGATGACGAGTAGGGTAAGGAGTAGTGTATGTTTCCAGTACAAAGATGTTTAAGAAGGCACAGTTGTTTTGAAAAACAGATTGCTTGTATCTGTTTGCTAGCGAACAGTCATAACATGTGTGAATTGGGACAATATTAAAGTGCTTGAAAAGCTCATCAGTGTGTGCATAGTAGTCGACGTATGCTATATAATAGCTTTCTTTTGTAGCTTGTATATTTTATTTATGTTTGTTGCTGTTGAATTTGCCCATACCAAAAGAGAATAATTCACATGCAACAAAAACAGGCTGTTATAAAGTGCTAACTCCACCGAAACCAAGAAAAAAATTACGCATTCTGGCAAGTGTACCGACACTTTTGGACAGATTAGCAATCAGATTGTTAATATGAGGATCCCATGACATTGTGCAATTGAAAAATACTTCTAAAGTTGTAATGGTCTCCACAGCTTCAATAGCCGTTGTACCTATTTGTAGTCTGTTGTCCAAAGAATTGTTCCGCTCATAAGTAGTGAATTTTGCCCACTCCATGCGTAAGCTTTCTAATGTATCATTTATAAGTGACGTCATCCCGTTCATATTATTACCTGTGAAAAAAAAGGCTTGTGTCATCCACATACATTATGTATTGAGGTTTATCACTGATTTTCACAATGTCATTGACGTAAATGTTAAAAGCAGCGACCCCAAAACGCTACCTTGCAGAACCCCTGTGGTGATAGCCTGTAGAGAAGATAACGAATCATTAATTTTTACACGTTGCAAACAATATGTTGCGATCACTTGTACATCTTTCTCATCTGTATATATCATTGTCGGTGCAATGCAGCCCAATCTCAACAAGAATAAAACACAACTTCATAAGTGGTGGAGCTGCATGGTATCACATGAGGCACAACATATGTTTACAAATGTGCAAGAGGATTTGAGTGCTGAGGACTACATGATGATAACAAAAAAAGAACACATACTGATGAAGGCAATTAGAAAGCTGGCAGACGGTAACATAGATATGAATTAATAAATAACTAAGCAGGAGAAAACACCTTATCAATATTATTCAGAAGAGTGACTTAATGGTCTTATTCGAACTTTTCGGTAAGTGGCTTTCTTGAAACGCTTGTGTTGCATAGGATGGGGCACATGATTGGGAAATATTTTTGAACCTCATCCATAAGTGGGTCTGCAATTTTTAAATTTTTTACATTAAACATGTATACATCACTATAACAAATAGTTGTTCCACTAGATTGAAAGATGCACAATTTTTGTGGACTTTTTGTTTCCTATAGAAGGAAATGATAATATAAGCTTTCAAGATTTCAGAGAGAGCCACAAGCTTGGGTAACTAAAGAAACAGAAGCCAATATATAATGGATTTCGTGACGCTAAAATGATATAGCTAAATGTGTACATGATTAATCACATCCTGTAAGAATTGACATGAAGTGTCGTAGAAACAAAGGTAACAGCGCTTCCGTTTGTAATGAAGAAAAAGGTTCACATATTACATAGTATGTACATACCAGCCTGTTATAATTACGGTATTATACATATATACTATACATGTGCCATATTTTGTTTATATGGGATTCTTCATAAACTGCCACACAGCAGAAAGCAATGGGTGCATTGCTAGTGTACTCAAAGTCAAGAGGTATCTGCTGTGGGTTTGCAGACTTAATGTACGCCTTTACGAGAACTTGCAATGGGTGCTCTGTTTCCCCTTTCTTTCTGTGTGTCCCTTTCCATAAGTACAGGGTAGTAAAGTGCACACATGTGTGTCGATGATATACCCCTATATTTTTGTGCTCCCCTCTCCCTCTGCCAGAACAATTGACATATCTCAATCTATTATTCAGCTCTACTACACTTATTCCTGACTCTTTAGATGCAAGAAGAGTGGCGAAACGATATTTTCAGTGGATATACGATTCATCGGTATAAGAAGGGTCTATGCCTCTAGCTGCAATAAAAAGAAAAAAAAAACAAGCTTCATTTTCATGGTGATTAGAGTACAAATATTGCTTGAACGATATCAACATACGCAAATTTTGTATACACTCTACATGTAACTGAGTAACACACCAAACAAACAGTTTACGTTCCTTAAGTTCCTTGACATCTATTTATTTCAAACAATGTAAATATATGACAGTGAGCCCGCTGCTACTACGGCGCTGATGTTTCTGGGCCAATTGCCACATGACAGTTGTAAATAAGTGTAACAGTAACATAGTCGGCTGCTTATTCCACATCACACAGAAGCCTTGCAGTGAAGTATAAGCAAAACGCAAATTTCATTGTTATTGGAGAGACCTGCCTAAGAAAACACTGTGAGCACCGTGAAATGAAATCAACAGCTGTCAATTGGTCGCATCTCTCGGCTGCCATAACATGGCTCTAACTTAGTTGTCGTATGAACCCTGTACCTATAGACCACCATGGCTGATGCCAGGCTCACGCGCAAGTGGGGTCGATCCATATGTTAAAGCTTCATCTTCGCGCAAACAATCGGTAGAAGTTGGTTTACTCAGAAATAAGCAAGTCATGTTACTTTTGTTTGCCCTCCAACATACGGATTAAAGGCAGCATTTAAATGACGCATCTAAGCAATATATACTTGCAGCACGCGCGCGCGATGGGGCGCAGCTGCCTCCATGGATCTGATAAACCACACAAATGTGGCCGACATCAAGCAGTCAAGTACAAATAAATAATGATTCTGAGCTGCGTCTACGTCACTGTAATGAGTAAACCACGTTCTCAACATGACCCGCTTGTCTTGCGTTCGCCATCGCGAGGATCCACGAAATGATCATTCTCAAGTTTCGAATCGAATTCCGAAATAAGGATCGATGGATATATCTGATGTCCGTAATTGCCATTCAGCTGGCTTTGTGGTGCAAGGCTCTGTAAAGAATGCGTTAGACCACACGAGCCACTGCTTCGCAATGTTGCGACCGAGAAGGCGCACGGAATACGATATATACTACGCGGTCTACAGCTCACCTGTCTGTGAGAGGGGGGAACGCGCCAGCCGGCGGCGCCAGCGATCAACAGGCAAGCGACGGCTGTCAACGAGTAGGCCATGTCGACGGCTTTGACGGCCAACTGCCTCCGCTGAAATCGGTCACGGGCTAGTCAAAGACATTTTCGTGCCACTTTAATGAGTGCGAACTCGCGTGACAGATGCTTGACAGCCGCAGCCGCTGCTGATGGATGGCATTTATTGCGGATAAACGTCACCTGACAACGCTAAGCATTGACGTCACAGAACACTTACCACTAAATGATGACGTCGTTTTAACGCGCTCTGACGCTCTCTCTTCTCAAGGTATAGTGAGGAAGCTTATGTGAATGCGTCACGGTTGGTGGTCTTGTGCATCCGTCCGTCACTCTGGAGATTGTGGCGCTGCAATCGGGGTTAAATCGGGATGAAGGTGGCTCTGGTCGTATATCTGATGTGTAGTAGTTACCGTTAAAGATGAAGTAAGTGCTACTCAGACATAAATGCAGAAAATGACAGATATTAATCTTTCAAAGGAGTTCTTGAAGGAAGGGACGTATCTTTCTGGAGCACTTGCCTGTATCATTCTACGGCAAAGTCTACAAGTACTGACGTGCACATTGATTCACGTCAAATGAAACCAACCGGTCTTCGTCGTCCAATGAAATCTCTTGCTGAATTTCAGCAAAATGTTCCGCATTCCTGAATATACTAGGAAGTGTGTTTGGCGATAAGGTAGCAACGTTACACCTGATGCAGAGAGTTTGAAACTTTAGTAAGCATCTTTTGAAGCTTGGAGTGTGCCTAAGTCTTCGTTGGGTGACTCGGGTCCTCGTTCAACTTGGTGTAGGTAGTCGTATTAGGAAGCAGAGCTGACATTTTTTTCTTGTAGTCATCCTTGTCCAGTACAACCATAGTGTTTCCTTTATCTGCAGGCAGGGTGACAATATTTACGTTTCATTATAGACGTTTCAATACAAGTTTTTCGTGCTGCGCAATGTTCGCCATTTTCACTCGCTGAAAGTTCGACAGCGTGCCGATCACCCGAGTTCTCGCTTCATCGTGAAGGTGAGGCTCGAGTTGGAGGATAGCTTGTTCCACAGCGCAAGTCATCTTTTTCGTGTTCGGAACACGCCCAGGTTGAAGTCCAAGCCCCGATACAGGATGGACAGTTCCACCGGCTCCATGTTGTGCGATGAAAGGTTGACGACACTCGAAGTGTGAGTAACACGGGGGAAATCGCTCTCCTCAGGTGGCCTATGGTCCCATAGGTGGCCTTGCCATGACTGGGGTCGTCTCTGTGGCTTTCCGCTTTCCCGTTGGCATCAGCGATTCACTGGCTGGCTTCTCAGACAGGTCAGAAGGTGCCGCTGACCCAACCGGTGAAGCGGAGTTGAGCTACGGTCCTTAGAATATTCTAGGGACAATAGTTGGGCAGAGCAGTCACCGCTGTGGTGGCAGGCGTATCTTTCTCTGCAGTTTGACCTTGCGTTGCAGGTGTTGCTCCCTGATCTTCGAATGCAAAACTTAGCAACCGGAGTCTTGTACGAGGACATGTCGCAGAGATCGTTTGCAGGGACGCTGGAGGACTCATCTCTTTTCTTAATATGATGATCCTGCTTTTGCTCTCGGTGGACGAGCTGAAGTTCAGCAATGCTTGACTGTTGAACGCCACGGGAACATCTACAACTTCAGGATCTGGAAGAATGAAGAGCGGTGTAATCAGGCGATGCCCATCGGGCACTCTGTTTCTATATGCTTGTCGGTGGGGCCCTTGATGTGTGACATCGGGCGGCTGCTATTGCTGTTGGAGTTGATGGGTGGCACCACCAAGTTTGCTGCACTCGTAGGTACATTGCTCATAGCTGTAGCGGGGCTTGCCGAAGGCGTGACACTATTGACTTCTTTGGTCAGGGTTGCAACCACCGTCTACTGCTGCGGCTGCGCTTTCGAGTATTGCTCCTGGGCCTTCAACACTTCGGGGTCTTCAACCAGGGTGGTGCCAGACTGCCGCTGCTGGCTCCCAGAACCCGACAAGCTTTTGCCATACAATTTCTGGTGCCACACGTTGGCGTTATTGCCGGCGTTTCCTTCCTTAGCGTCTGTCGACGTCGATGATACCGGTGACGCTAGCGAAAAGTATATGTCAGTTAATATTCGAAATGGCTGCAAGTATTCTCATGAAATTTTACGTAGTCACGAAAAATGCCACTGGGTATAAAGTGACATCATTTTTTTTATGCCTAGGTTGATTATCCTTCCTATGGCGCACTCCTAGATTTCAAAGGGGGCTAACTTATTCACTGTACTTTTTCTCTGCAACTACCGATAGGAATGCAAGCATATTCAGCCGTTTTATTGGAGGGAATAAAAGGTTACATCTGCTCTAAAAAACCATAACATTTCTTATAAAGTTTCTGTTAAAAATAGAAACGCTGCTTGCACATCGCCACGGAGAGTGCGTATTAAAGTGTAATTTCTTTACAGCGACACTTTTTTATAAAATCAGCAATTTTTTTAGTTCAGATTGTTTATAGTTTGTTGTAGCTCACGCATACGAAGTTTCGTCAAAATCGATTTACTACTTTATGAAAAAAGTTACATTGAAGTTGACAAATTTACAAAAAACAAAATTTGAGAAAAACGAAGTTTTACGTGCGCATACTGCTTACGCCAAAGAGCGCGCAGCGCACTTTGGCGCGGCATTTAAGCCGCCTGGAGGGGCCGCTCGACATCGGGCTTCCACAAATTTGTTCCTTAGAGTACAGTGTATTTTTTTGGTGCCAAAAGTGCAATTTCGATTACCCTGACACACCCCCTTAACAGAAGAGAGAACTTGGCGTCTTGGCTAGCACACTTTGCTTCCCGTTTCCTTGCCTACACTGGCAGTTTGCATGAAGTACCTCTCTAGGGTCTCTAAAGGAAGAAAGAAGGCTTTCCAATTACCGCTCAGCGAAAATTTTGTCCTTTTCGATTATCCTAAATACTTGCTTTCGTTTCCGGAATACGAGCCTGAAGGAGATGTTTTTCTGCTTTTGCAACAACTTATTTACCAGAAGTGGTCTTTACCAAAAGTGGCAGCTTCAATGACTTCGGGATGATATTTGTGTAACGAAGGTTGAAGTGCAGGTAACAAAAAAAAATGAAGAAAGGAGTGATTTTAAGCTTACAAATCGTAACATATGAGGGATGGCGGCTGGCGCACATTCTTCGTGTGCAGCAATATAGTCCAAGGTTCGACGGTCCACCGTCTGGAGAGGGCCAGTAATGTTTTGCAAATAAACGGACACTCGCTACTAAGTTTCAACTAAAAATGATTAATGACGTTTCAATACCCCTAAGGGTTTCTTCTTCACATACAAGTGAAAAAAACTGTGAGCAGTGCCCTTATACACGTATATGGGGCAATGATCTGGTGCAAGTATCGGGTAGATTTCCGCGTGTCCTAATATTTGTATGGGGCGTCGACTGGAGTAATAATGATTCATTCCCAAAGAAGTGAAGCAATGATTTCCGAAGAAGTGATTTTTTCATGTCAATGACAGTCGCAGAATTCCAATCAATGTTGTGGCCTGTGTTAAGATGATGTTCAGCTAGTGCGTTGGCTGTGTTATGTCCCATAGCTGCGTCATTTCGGTTCTGCTTGATACGTACTCGTTTGATGTGCAGCAGTCCCTGACAGGGTATCCTATACATCACTCCAGGATAACGCTCCCGTTATAATGGTTCCTTAACGTGGATCAGCTGGCTTCATAACTTGTGCGAGGGCGCGTGCGCTACTTGTAGATGATAGCTCTTGAAAATTCTTGCGAGAGTTTCGCTTGCATCGGGAGCATATGCATGGAATCGGTGCAGTTTTTTTTTTTTGCAGTACGTTCATATTTTTCTGGGAGCGGCGTTCCTGTTGACGTGTAGTTGGCGAAGGTAGCCGTTGTCTTAAGGTCCTGATTTACTTTAGCGCATTCCGACCTTTGCGCTGAGTCGTCTGAGTGAAGCCGGAGGAGAGAACGCTTGATGAGGGCAGGAGCCATCGAGCGTTTGTGGTCAATGAGATGCAGTGAGATAAAACTGAGATACTTCCTTTTCTGTAATAACAGAAAAGGAAGTATTGTTGAATGACTATCACTCCTTCGAAGCCGACAGGGAAGGCGATGTTCTCTCTGAGGTAGTGGATAGTGGATTTTCTGAGGTATGGATAAAACTTGCATAAATATAGTCTCTTGTGAAACTGTGTTCCTTGGGACCATATTGGTGAGAAATAATATTGCGTCTAACAAAAAAAACAACAAAACAAGCCCTAAATTTTACAATTCCTTCCGTCTTTATTAGGTGTCTGATATGCACAGCTATCCAAGAAGCTTTATGGGACGCTAACGACAAGTATGAAGTTCAGCTGAAAGGACCAGGGGCACTAATGCGTGCTGTTTTGGTTGAGTGTGAAAATAAGAATTATTAGAGAAGATATTTGTAAGAAAAGAGCACATATTTCTTGATCGCGCTGAAACGATGTTACGAATTTCATTGATGTCAGCGAATTACAAGGCGCCACGTACGATGAATGACCACATGTGCGAAAGGCTTCTGCATAGCCGCGGCTTTCCCGATTGCCACGATGGATGTGGTGTACATGCATATACTGAACCTCGATGCGACGGTGACGCCATGGAAGCAAGATTGCACTTGAGCGAGTCTGAAATTATTTTCTGTGCTCTTACAGCTCTGCCTGCGTACGTACGACTGGCAGCAACCGACGGAAAGTCAAGGCTTGATGTCAATATCCCCACGCGCAATACCTTTTTGTATTTTTTACGTGACGCAAGCCCTGCCGCAATATCTCGGAAACCACCCCACCCACACCACCACGGTGGTCTAGTGGCTAAGGTACTCGGTGTCCCTGTGAATCAGCTTTGCCCATCGGGACGTGCTCGCTGCACCCTGTGTAGTACTTCTGGACAGGGGCGTGGATACGCCAATTTGCTTTCCCGCTGCCCCTGTTGCAACGGGCTCTGTACTGCGCTTTTGGTGTTGCCGCAGGCAATAAAGTGTTGTGACCTTGAGCAGTACCGTGTTATCGCCATGGCGATGATTAACGCGTGCCCTGCGACTCGCTAGGACCGGACCCACGCTAGTGGCCGCACTTCTTCGGGATATGTGTACACTACAAGGTTCAAATGTAACTCCACAAGAGAAACTGGTCTGATCTTAAGTTG